TACATAAAATATGTGGTTTTTAAAATACACAGAGTAAATAAACACCTAAAATTACGTACAAGAGAAACGTTAATAAAAACAGGTATATATGGCACATTTTTTTTTTAAACGACTGTCTTATTTCTAATTCATCACAGCAAAAAAAAATCAAGACTTTGGTGACTTACGACTAGATCATTCACATGCCTAAGGCAGCGACTTAGTGGAGACTCTGATCAGGTGTCTACATAGAAAACCCTATTACGATTTTTTAGACTAGCACTAGGAACATGAAGATTGATCACACTGAGGAGTTCAGGTACATTATCTGATTAAATATGTTTTATATAAATAGTACATCATTCAAGCCTCGACGATCCGACAGGGTTGGCATGACAAAATGTTCTAGTTGAGTCCTATAGGAGATCATAGAGGGAGATTCTTTATTTTTTTTGAAGTAGGTGTTCCTAATAAATTTCTTGTGTATTTTTTTTATCATCTCTGAATGAAATGCTGTTTGCGGATTCCAGATTGTTGAAGCGTATTCGAGCTTTGATCTGACAAAGGCATTGAATAGAAGAATTCCTAGTTTCCATTTGAAATCCCTAGCGTTTCTTAACACAAAACCAAGCTTTCTGTTTGCATCACGTACAATATATTCTATGTGATTTCTGAAATTGAAGTTACTATTAAATATGACTCCTAGATCTTTGATTTGAGCAATCACATTTTTTCGTGAAAAAAACATAACTTTGCATTTACCCTCTTTCAGCATCAAGTTGTTCGTCTCACAAAAGATAGTGATAGAATCTAAGTCTTTCTGAAGGTTTTCAGTGTCTTTTTCATCGTTGATGGTTTGGTATAGTTTGAGATCATCTGCATAGAGCAGGAATTTGGAATGTCTTATATAATCACCTATATTGTGAATGAAAATTATAAATAAAAGTGGGCCTAGAATTGATCCCTGAGGAACGCCAGAGGTTGGTCTGAATAGTGTCGACCTTTTTCTATTGAAAGCAACAAATTGATCTCTATCTGATATATATTACTTCACTAATGTTATCATTGATTGATTCATTGAGAATTTCGTTAATTTGGCGATGAGAACTCCATGGTTCACTTTGTCGAATGCTTTTGCTAGGTTTGTGTAGATTACATCAACTTGTTTTCCAGCATTTATCGAGAGTGCTAAGTTATTGCTGAACACCATGAGATTTGTTACAGTCGATTTTTTATTAACAAAACCGTGCTGTTCTCTGCAGATAGTGTCTTCAACGTGGGCATATAGTCTGTTATATAAGACTCTCTCTAAGATTTTTGATAATGAGGGGAGTATTGTTATCGGCCTATAGTTTGTTATGAGATTTTGATTGCCAGATTTATGGATAGGAATTATACAACGCTATTGAAGATTATGTTCAGAGGTCTTATTAAGTTTTCCATATAACCTTTGTAAAAGTAAGATGGAATACCGTCAACTCCAGTTGATGTTTTGGGTTTCAGGGATCTAACTGCTTTACAGATATCTTGTTCGGAAATTGATGATATACATAATTCTCATGAAATCCCTAGAGCTTAGGTCAGGGGATCATGGCAAGTGTACTTGGCTGAAGGCTGCGGCCAAAAAGACAAAAAGGTGCCCCCCTCCAAGCGCTGATATTATAGAAAAATAGACATGGAACTTTAGATGTTGTTTGAATGCTATTGTATCAATCACATATTATGTACCTCCTGAAAAAAGCAATTATAATGTACACATATGTTTCAGTTTCATCAAATTATACTATCATAAAGATAACAACCTACTTTTCTATATTCGGTTAAAAAACAAAGCATTTCAGTTTTGGCGATTGACAGAAACTATTACCAACACATTAACTGAATACTTTAGCATAGAATTTTTTTTCATTTTTCAGGTACATCAATTTGACTTTTTTAGCTTCACGTTGGACTTCCTGAATATTCTTATCGTTTGGTAGCAAAATAGAGGCATTGTTAATGTCTTCCAGTGCTTTATCGTATTCCATCAAAGCCAGCCTTGCTTGAGCTCTTCTGTACAAAGCTTTCACGTTACATTTGTCTGCTTCGAGCACCTGGCAAATTCAAAAATGCAACATTTTAGGTTGAGAAGTAATCGTGAATCTCCATTCAAACTTCTCATATGCTATGAAATATAAAAGGAGAATCATTAGAAGTGAGCATTCTGATTTCCGCTAGGAAGACGCCATCTATTGGATCAACAAAAACTCACCAACTTTTCATCCAGAGTAGTTTCATTTAGTTGCCCGGTTAAAGAAAATGCAGCTTGGCTTCACAAAAAATGTTTTGCAATAAGCCATGTTAACTTTCTGTTACAGACATAGAGGGCGTCTTCCTAGTCATTTTCATTGCATATTGTTGTGACAGAAATTTATTGATATAGGTCAAAAATAGTATTATACATCGACCCAAAATTATTGAATTTTTTGGAACGTATGTAAATTAGAGCGTTTCATTTTTAGGAAATATTTTTTTTTATTTTCCTACCAGACAATCTGATATAGGAGATTTTATCTTTTATTAATTTGAATGTCAACAGACAGACCAAAGTCAGTTCCGAAATATTTAAAATACCGTTTCATTCCACAAATTGTTTTTTTTCTCTCCTGTCACTCGAATGCTCAGAAATGGGAATACGTATCAACAGGTTGATATCTTTAACAGCTCCACAAATACCATCAAAACTGAATCGAGTCGCATTATTTCCTGAAACTTTTCCTTCAATTATTCTGTACTAATTTTGTACGAGTTAGCAATGATATTCATTTTCAAACTAACACATAACTTGCTTTCAACTTATTTTGAAAAGTTCTGTATATATAAATCTCAAATCGATAACCCCTTAACAAGAGGGAGTAGCTCCCAAAAATTCCACCTTTTCGAACTGATTTGACTAGTACGATGAAGTCTTTATTTTATAAAGGTTTGAATTAGTATAACAAACTTCCACTTTCGTGGAAAGATTCAATAAATGTTTTCCNTATTTGTGGAGCTGCTAAAGATATCAACCTGTTGATACATATTTCCATTTCTGAGCATTCGAGTGACAGAAAATAGTATTCGATCATCAAGTGAAGTTATGTTTTTAGGAACGGCTTTTGACGAAACTCTAACCCGGAGCTGCTAAATTCAAAAAGTCCATAATGAACTTGATTCAGAATACCATTCTATTGAATACTCTAGATCTAGATGGATGTGGATTTTAAGTGTCTACTTTTCTAAGGCTTATTTCAAGAGTTCCCAAGAGTTTTTGTCGCTTAGAAAAGATTAATAATATAATATTTGATATGGATTTTCCAGATAGTTGTGAATCAATACTCTCAATAGAGGGCCTTTTGACCACACTTTATTCATTTATTTTGAAATGTATCACTTTGGATCATAGTATTTTAAATTTCAAACAAAATGTTTCTTTCTTAACAAAGTCCGTACATAAATAACGATGAGATTGGAACCTTAGGTGTGAAAGTTGAATAACTTTTTTCGAGATCAATTGCCCTAAAACCAAACTGATATGTTTGCACTCGACGCGCGTTTCGCCAACAAAGTTAGCATCCTCAATTTTCTTCTCCTGAGGATGCTGACTTTGTTGGCGAAACGCGCGTCGAGTGCAAAAATATCAGTTTGGTGTTAGGGCAATTGATCTCGAAAAAAGTTATTCAAAGTACAGTCTGATCATTGAATTCGAGATCCATCCAAATACAATTGATTAGATCTATGACAGATTGCAACAACCCAAATTTGGTATTAGGTCAAAAATGCAATGCTTTTGTACTCTAGTTTCATGTAGGTATTATAGTCTGGCTTTCCTTACCTCATTGCATAATAAAATAGCTTCTTTATATTTACGCCTTCTCAATTTAACAGCTGCTAAATTCAATAGAAGAACACTCTGAATGTCTTCAATTTTATCAATCTCTATCTTGTGTGTCAAAGTCCAGTCAATATATCTCAGACATTTTGTGTATTTCCTTTCTGCATTTATAAACTCGTTCTTATTGTAAAAATGTTTTCCTGAATTCTTTATGTTATTTATAGTTAGTTCCGCAACTATGGGATTTTTGAGGAACTCCTCTTCACAGTCATCTGGCCAAGGTGTATAAATGTCTTCAGTTTCATCATTTTCGCCTATGTTCCAAGACTCGCCGGGTTTACATTCACCACAATTTTCAATCATGAGAAGCTGCAAAAATGAATATTCAGTTAAAACAAGAAATCTAATGCCTATTAGCAAGTTGGAAACTATTCAAAATGCAACCACCAAAAAAGTGATGAAAACATGTTGCTTTATTTCTTAAGGATCAATAAGCAAAAAAACGCTGAAATTGAATTAAAATCAAATAAAAATTTCAACTGAAAATTGAACAATGAAAATGAACTAAAAATTGAAAGATTTCAAGTAAAGTTACTTCACGACGTATCAATTGTTAGTATCCACAATTGTCTTGACAATTGTGATGACTGTGGATACTAATAATAGAAACATCGGGAAGTAACTTGGCTTGAAATCTTAAAATTTTCAATTTCTTGCCTAATTTTCATTTCAGTGTAATTTTATTTCAGATTTTTTTTGCTCAATATAATTGTTATTTTCAGCTATTCATTTTCAATTTTATTTGTTTTTTCAGGAATTTCAAATCAAATTATATCATGTTAGTCAAGGGAAGTCCGAACTGATGAAATTCATTTCTTATATTGTTTTTTGGGTTTATAACTTTCACAATCTGAAAATAAAAGACAAATCAATAGAAAATCTGCTGAAGAGCAAACTGAAAAGTTCTTCCCGAAAAGTTACTGCTTAATATAAACTACTGGAAAGTCCAATTAGTCAATAACTTGTCTTATTCATAAATTTTGCCCACAAATTGAAAAAATCAATTGCAAAAATTAAATATTGATACTTTGCTTTCTCAAGTGGTTAATATTTCGGAAAACAATCCTTTTCCGTTTTCAAAACTTGTGTCAACAGAAATTAGAAATATCAGTTTGAGGCGAGATTTTCATAGTGAATACAGTTTTTAAAAACGAAAAAGGATTGTTTTCCAAAACATTAACCACCTAAGAAAGTTAAGTATCAATATTCAATGTTTTCAATTGATATTTTTCAATTTGTAGACAAAATTTATGAATACGACAAGTTACTGACTAGTTGGACTTTCCAATAGTTTATATTACACAATAACTTTTCTATACTTCAGCAGACTCTCTAGTGAGTTATATTTTCAGATTGTGCAAGGTTATGAACCCAGAAAAACATTATAAAATATTGAGTCCTACACAAAAAAATGTCGTTTAAAGAATAATGAGATTCAATGTGAAGTAATAAAAATTGATCATGTTAGGAATTTTCCCTGAACATAATTTAGGACATGCAAATGATGGGTTCCACATATTCAAGAAGAGATTTTACAGTACAGAGTTTTTGATACCAGTGAAGTCATAATGAGTCAAACTTGATTTACATAATGAGGGAATGTTAGAGGCTAGATGTTATGGAATGGTATTTATGCATATGTTCCAAACAGTTTACAACATACCTACCAACTGGAAGTTTAGAAATTCTACATTAGAATATCATTAACATTATTCTTTCTGAGGCAGATGAAACGGATTTGTAATGTAGATGTTCTACTTAACATCTACTATTCTCTGATTCATAGTAGAATTTCTTACGGCATTATTTTATGGCGTAATTCCAGTTCAGCAATACATGTTTTTCGTTTCATTCATTTCTTTCAGTGTGTAGCCCTAGTTGGGCAATAAATAAATGATTCTCTCCACACAGAGGTCATCTGATTCATCAGTTCCAAGTTAGTCATGGTTGGGTTGTTATATAAAATTGTGACTGATTTGAATTTGGTCCAGAGTTCATCATTCCTACCATGCCAGGTTCCTCATGCTGAAAAAAAAAATCATTAGTGTATGTAATGCTTTAGATGTAGATATATATCCACGTATATAATGCTATTTAAATGAGTAACTGATGTAAGTTTTATGTCAAATTCATTATATAGGTTCTTTTTTTAAGAACATTCTTCCAAGTAAATATTGTAATAGGGGAGCCCAAGCGGGGATTTCGGGATTTACTGAAGCGCGGCAGATTAATATAAAGGGGGATACCTTGTACCAAGTTAAGTGCTTCCACCAAATATGAGCCTCATATATAAGGCCGCCCGTGAAATTCATCAGAAATTCTCGAGCGCGTCAGATTAAGGTAGGGTGAAGTGATTACATGCTAAAAAGTGTATATTCCAGTAATCTGACAATTTGAGAGTGACGTAAAGAAAGGGGAGGTCAGCAAAATTGTAAAAAAATAATATAATTTCTATTCAGGTCGAACGACGTCTTTCTTGCAGGTTAACTTTTTCGGTGAGTCGAAACTTTGTGAGTCTGGAACCAAAACTGTCACAAGGGCGGTGAAGGAAACACTTCAACCCGAGAGAAGGAGAAGGAAATCTAATTTTGTGAATCAGACGTGTTATTGAGTCGCTTGAAAAATTCTTGCTGGAACATTCCCAATAGAGCAGAGAGGAAAATCGGTATTAACGAAGCGGGTCCAATTCAGTTTAAAACTTTTGGCCCTCAAGACAACATTAGAATGGCCCTGTGTTATTTGCCATGANAAAATATTAACCCAATTAAACTGGAAGCCATTAACCTGGACGAAATGAAGCATATTCAAGAAACACTAGAAATCAAGAAAGAAGAAATAAAGAAGATTCAAGATGTACCAATCGATCAGAAATCAATTGATATTTGGACTATAATTTTATATGTTATATTTTTTATAGCCATCCTGTATGCAGCCTATCGATTCTATCCAATTAGATGCCTTGCCATACCGGATGCCCCAAAAGAAGGAGAAGCCGAAGGAACTTCCCGAAATTCCGAAATTAACCCCGGAATTTCGCTCTAAGGATGGAGGAGTTATGGAACTCGTGTGACCTCAATGTCCTCTAGAAACGCCCACCACAGCGACTTCCCGGACGGATGCTGTATCAGCCCTATTTTGATAAGCATTTGTATAAAACTGTTTGTAATGACGCCTCCCGTCACTCTTTACTTATCCTTTGTACAACACTGAATAAAGTAATTTGTCATTTTCCAATTTCGTAAGTTTTCCAACTCCTTTTTAAAAAGTGTTTTCGCCAAGCCACGACGAAAACTTGCAGTTCAAGACACATCAACTCATTTCCGATTACATTCAAATCCCAATGCATTTTTCAAATCACAAATACAAGTCATATTTTCTATGAGGAACTGGGAAGAAATATGCCGACAAATGTGCGGAAAAGAGTTATTGAAAGGGTAATGTATTTGACAAAGGACTGGATTTTAATATTCTGGAAGAAAAATTCCGAAAAGTTGAAATACATTTTTTCGCCAAGAGTGATAAAAGGACCTTTCTAATTAATGCATAAGTTTTGTTTTCGCTGAGAAGTCATGACTCAGAAGGACTGTGATGGCTTTTGGAAGAGTGAGATGAAGCAAAAAAGTATTGTAGCATCAAGATGAAATACATGATGAAAAATAGAAGTCGGAAAAGCCAGAATAACCATGTGAAATGATATTTTTATGCTGCTGTCGTGGTCAACAATTTGATTGGGACATGGAAAAAGCTTTTGGTGTTTCTATAAATATATACAAACAAAGAGTTAGTCTGGGAAGTCTAGACAGTCAACGAGTACTTACAGAGCGAAATGAATCATTTTTCAACTATGCATATAACAATAGTAATAGCCATTTAACTGGAGGTCGAAGTATTGGTGCTGTCTTCCAAATTATTGTCGATAGGGGATTCTTGGCATAAAATTCCAACACTTCAATAGCTTACGTGGACGTGAGTAGTAATTAGCTTTCATCAAAGCCACTCTGTAATAGTTTGAAAACAATCTATTCAGGTCGAACGACGTCTTTCTTGCAGGTTAACTTTTTCGGTGAGTCGAAACTTTGTGAGTCTGGAACCAAAACTGTCACAAGGGCGGTGAAGGAAACACTTCAACCCGAGAGAAGGAGAAGGAAATCTAATTTTGTGAATCAGACGTTTTATTGAGTCGCTTGAAAAATTCTTGCTGGAACATTCCCAATAGAGCAGAGAGGAAAATCGGTATTAACGAAGCGGGTCCAATTCAGTTTAAAACTTTTGGCCCTCAAGACAACATTAGAATGGCCCTGTGTTATTTGCCATGATTTAATGTTTTGGACTTCAACAGCATGTGATTCTTCCTCTCATTTTCTGATTGATTTGGCCGTTACTTGATGGAGATCCAATACAAAGCACCTACTGTGGCAAACGAACTGGTAATGAACCCTGAAATCCCTAGAGCTTAGGTCAGGGGATCATGGCAAGTGTACTTGGCTGAAGGCTGCGGCCAAAAAGACAAAAAGGTGCCCCCCTCCAAGCGCTGATATTGTAGAAAAATAGACATGGAACTTTAGATGTTGTTTGAATGCTATTGTATCAATCACATATTATGTACCTCCTGAAAAAAGCAATTATAATGTACACATATGTTTCAGTTTCATCAAATTATACTATCATAAAGATAACAACCTACTTTTCTATATTCGGTTAAAAAACAAAGCATTTCAGTTTTGGCGATTGACAGAAACTATTACCAACACATTAACTGAATACTTTAGCATAGAATTTTTTTTCATTTTTCAGGTACATCAATTTGACTTTTTTAGCTTCACGTTGGACTTCCTGAATATTCTTATCGTTTGGTAGCAAAATAGAGGCATTGTTAATGTCTTCCAGTGCTTTATCGTATTCCATCAAAGCCAGCCTTGCTTGAGCTCTTCTGTACAAAGCTTTCACGTTACATTTGTCTGCTTCGAGCACCTGGCAAATTCAAAAATGCAACATTTTAGGTTGAGAAGTAATCGTGAATCTCCATTCAAACTTCTCATATGCTATGAAATATAAAAGTAAGTAGAAAACTAATTCAAAGTATTGTGAAATACTCACTTTTGCGAAAATTCCCTTTTTTTAAGCGATTTTATTTTTTTTAAGGTCAAAACAAGCACTACAGGAAAATCCCTTAGGTGCTCTAAGAGCGGTACCTGTGTGGAAGTAGCCATTCACATTTGATTTGAATCGCTGGAAAAACGTTCTCAGAAATTTTATTTCGTATAAACGCAGCTCTCCGAATGAAATCGTTGTTAAACAGTGAATGAAAAAATTCAAAAACATGTTAAGTCTGTAAGAAACACAAATTTTAAGCTGGAAACCATAGCTTGTTACCGTTGTTGACAGCAATTTGTTTGATAGAACTAGTTTTAACTCAAAATTACTTTTTCGGTAACAGTCCGAGAAGTAACCACTTTCCTGACCCTTTTTCTTTAGGATAGTAGCATTTCTTCGGCCTAGTCCTAGAAGTATGTACTTTCAGGAAGAATCACGTCGTTGTTATTTTAAATATGAAAATCTTGGTAGGTATGGTTTTGATAAATGCGGTTGATCATTACCATAGCAGCGAAATAAAAACTGGCAACTATTTGACGTGAAATTAGTTGATCTTTTAGTTTTTGAAAGTTTGCGTGGTTTTCCAATTCAGCATGTGTTCAAGTTCAGTTAGAATAGCTAGTGAGCTGGATTTTTTGGTATTTTTCAAAATTTCGAAGAATGAACAAGAAACTTTTTTTCTTCATTTGTCAGCGGATGTTCCTGCAATTCTGGAACCCTTAGATACCAGTCGAGATGATGGTAAACGACAAGATGGTATGTCTCTCATACCTTGGAAATATGATAAACCTGTGGTATGGGACTTCACTTGCGTTGACACGGTCGCGGCTTGTCTGGCGAAAAATTGAAACGAAAAAAATACCAAAATCTTGGTTTCACACTTTTGGTGTTTATGGCCCGGAGTCTCTGTTATTCGTTGATGAACTCGGAAGGAGAATAGGCCAAGCAACGAAAGATCACCGTTCTCCTCTTTTTTGATAGAATGAATTAGTATTGCTATTCAACGTGATAATGCTGCTTCGGTCCTTGGAACATAATTTTGATGAGATCAAGCATAGCCCTCATTTCAGTACGGAACTGAAACCTCTTCGGAACAAGCCGAGATATGTGGATATTCATCAGTCTCCTATCAAGGTTAATTCACAAGTGATTGCTCCACCTTCTTCTTTTTCAGTGCGGTCAATGGACTTAGGTCATTCTTGCCTCTCAAATATGAGTTGCAGTCCTCGTGGTTCTGGTTCACTTTCAGTGGATGAGTTTCATGAAGCAAAAGCCGAATCGATCCCTCTACGAAACCCTTCATCACTTGGAAGGATTGATCGCAGCTTGAGAAATGGTTCTTATGCAGATTATGTGAAACATGTTCTTCCTTACGAATCAGTAGAGAGTTGTCCTGAAAACTCTGAGAAGCAAATTGGATTAGATAATTTAGGAAACATTTGCTACATGAATAGCATTTTACAAGTGGTGTTCATAACGAATAATTTCAAGAACGAGATTTTAATGATGAACGAGAATGTTTCCTACTTATTCACCAAACTCAAACACCTGTTCATGCAGCTGCAGTTTAGTAAGAATGTATCATCTTCCCCTTCAACCGATTTCCTGGAGTCTTTAAGTCCACTAGATACTCGTTAGGATAACAAGAATATTGTTCAAAAATTCTCGGGGATCTTGCTGAATACTCTTCGTGAGCAAAACAATAGCAGAATCAATACTACTGACCGCTCTGGATTGACAATTTCAAAGACAACATTCAAAAAGCAAATTTAAAAAAGTTACACCTCGAACATTGTAATTTAGAAGAAAAACGAGCAATAAAAAGCTTATGTTACAAATACCGAGATATTTTCTATAATGATAAATTACCTCTAACCTTCACAAATGAAATTCGACATAAAATAAATTTAACAGATGAAACTCCAATTTATACAAAAACTTATAGATACCCTGAAATTCATAAACAAGAAGTTAAAACTCAAATTCAAAAAATGCTACGGCAAGGTATAATTCAACCATCAACATCACCCTTTTCAAGCCCTATTTGGATAGTTCCAAAAAAATCAGACGCCTCAGGACAAAAAAATGGAGATGAGTAATAGATTATCGTAAACTGAATGAACGAACATTAGACGATAAATAACCTTTACCAAACATTAACGTTATTCTCGACAAATTAGAAAAAAGTCATTATTTTACCACATTAGACTTAGCAAACGGTTTTCACCAAATAGAAATGCACCCTGATGACATACAAAAAACTGCTTTTTCAACAGAAAACGGACATTACGAATATAAACGTATGCCTTTTAGATTAAAGAATGCCCCCAGTACCTTTCAACGAGTAATGGACAATATATTACGAGGTCTACAAAATGAAACATGCTTAGTATATTTAGACGACATAGTTATTTCCAGTACATCTTTACAAGAACATTTATAACGCCTACAAAACGTATTTGAAAGACTAAGGCAAGCTAATTTTAAAATCCAATTAGACAAATCAGAATTTTTGAGAAAAGAAACCAGCTATTTAGGACATGTAATAACGCCAGACGGAGTAAAACCAAACCCCGATAAAATTGAAGCTATTAAATCCTGATTCCGTACAGTCTATCTCGTCTTGTGTTTGTGAATCTGGAAAACTCCTCATTTGTTAACTTTGTAGTAAATGTTCAAGAGGTAGCAAAAACGATTGTAAATTTCTGGAACTTCAACTAGCGTTTGCTAATATGACTAATAACCAGTCCATGCAAAGCTTATTGTTAAATCACTTGAAAATGGAACTTTTTAACAGGTGATGATCGACTGTATTGCCAACCATGCGCCAAACTAAGTGACTGTTATAAGAAAACAAGTATAGCTCAGGCACCAGTCAATCTAATAATAACACTGATGATCTTCAAACATGACTCAACCTCTGACGTAAGCACCAAGCTCTTACGAAGGTTCGAAATAGATGAACACTTCAATCTAGCAGACCACTTTTATAATATTCACGCAGTCATTGTTCACTGTGGTTTTGGCGTTGAATTTGTTCATTATTGTCAAAGACGAAACGGACTGGTTTAAGTTTGACGATAGTCATGTCACTGAGTGTTCTGGCGATGTATTGAATTTATTAGAACCTTTGGAGACACCCTGCATTTTATTTTATGAGAAAGAGGATTTTGGCAGATCAAGATCTTCAGATGATGTGGTGTTGCAGGTTTTTCCTGCAGCTGAAAAAACAAATGCGCCACTGGAATCAATGAAGTCGCCTCACATTTTCAATATGTAATTACTAATAAATATGTCGCTTACTGCGTTTCAGCACAACATTTTCCCGGCTTACCACACATGAATATTAGTCAAGAAATGCAGTAAGAAATCTTAAGAGACACTTTTCAAGGCAATACTGTCATTTTGTTCCAAAGAGAGTTGGAATATTTCACAATCGATGACAAAAGACATGATCTCATGTAAAAAAAATATGTGTTGATAAAAATACTTTCATGTAGGTATGAACTTCATTCTAAGAAAAGTTCCAGTACCTATGTTAAAAACACAATTTTTTATGACGACCCAAAAAGTACAATCAAATGTAAAAGAGGAAAGTCCCGTCTTGTTAGTCGTTTTGACACAATAATAAATGAGTGAGAAATAAATAAATAAAATTAAATCAATAAGAAAGAGTTATTACACTGCTTTATAGCTTTGTCAGGTGCTAGAAAACGTTGAAATGAATCTATAGAGCTATGTAACTCGTTATGGGTGAATATTGGATATACTGCATTTTTGACTAGTAGGGCAAAATTTTGATACTGACGAAATTAATCGACTAATTGGCGCTTATTTCGAATAAATCGAAATTCACTGATATATCACAGTTTTAAGTAGACTTATAAAAACGGACAAATCTTTTGAAACCACCTAACATGTATAAGGCATCGTTTCAAGTGTTTAAAACCGAATCTCTTACCGACAGCCTTGAGATGAAAGAACAATGCAAGTTTGCGGATGAAAGGAAAAATACTAACCGTTCCATATTCCGTGTCGAAAAATCGAAACCCTTGATGGAGAGCGGCGAAAAACATAATGTTGGCCAGGCACTTGTACACGTTCGGCAAAGTACAGAATTTTCTCGCCAAGGGCGCGTGGCATACGTAGATGTACCTCTGGACTGCCAGGGCCAAGGTCAGCCATATGCTCGATGTGTGGAACATGTTTGGGATTATCTGAAATTGAAAAAAGTTGAAATAGTTTATTCTGAAATTCGAAATTTTCAGTCGTAATTTTAAAATCACAGCTCTAACAGTATTTACAATAACTGAGGACATTTGGTGCAAGATTTTCACTGTAAAACAGCTTCCTTAGGCGAGAATGTTGAATAACTCATCAAATTCAATCATTTTATACTCTACAGTGGTAGTTACTACCTAAACTTCAATCAGGTAATTGATTGGTTCAACTACTAAGATTATATACAATCTATAATTTACTGAGTTCTAGTCTCCTTTGTTTTCTAATAGTAAAAAGTAATAAATACTTATTTCAAATCCAGAACAAAGATAGAGTGCTCAAACTCAGTTTTGTTATTTCGTTATGATTTGCCATAGACGGATCAGGCGGGCTTATGCTACTTTACCGGGTTCATCCTATTTTTGTATCGCTTACGGGTCGCAAACAAAATATTTTATGAGCGTCGGGGTCGTTTTCTTCCTGCATTGGTGTGCGTTTGTTGAAACTTATAGCTACTTCAATTTTTTTATGGATAAATTTCATTTATTTACATTTATATACAAATATCACTTTTATTTGAAGATTTTAGGTGTAAGCAAACATTATCGTGTGTTAGTACCAGATAAATCCGATGAATTTTCGTCGAATGTTATGAATAGAGGTTCTATAATTTTCTCAAATGAATGCTCAATACAATTTTGCAATTTAACGGAATCGACATTCTGAAAGGACGATCAAAAGAGTATTTTAACATTTTTTTTATTTTAAATGTAGTGTTTTTTCTAACTCAACCCTTTACTTGAGCCCAAACGAGTTCATTGGCATAGTTCACAATGATGAGGGAGAGATGCATAATAATAATATTCGGTGTTTGTGCCATCTTGTCGACCAGATATCCCATGAAACAAGCTTAATTTGAACATACTAGAGACAGTGGTTTTTTTTGACCGTACTTACATGGTAAATGGCATTTTTTGTGTCGAAGCAACTAAATGATTTACGCTTTTTTCCATGCATCAGTTGGTATTCTTTCAACTTTCCTGGAATGGAAACCAGCATTATCAAAAACAATAACAGAGCTAGGTGGAATGAGGACTAATATTTGCTCTTCTTCTTCAAACACATCGTCATTCCATTATCGCCATAATGTTTTGTCTCAAACATCAAAAAATCTCCCTCAACCAAACGATCAACAGTTCCAATCTGGGTAATAATCAGTAGCTTTCCTTTTTCATAAGGTGAGTTCAATTCGAAAGACCAGCCATCTGAAAATGCTTGGCGTAACCTTGAAATGTTTTTGTCGTGCCACATCTATTTAACGGTATATCTTTCGTTAAGCCAAATAATCCAAATAATCAATTATTATTTTCTCACGTCAATACTCTCTTATCTACCTCATGTAATGTCTCCTTCAGCAAATAATTTAATCACCTTCGACTGGGACCGACTTTCTGTTTTATTTGTCCCAGTTGAAGTTTTCCACAATTTCTCTCTGCCCATCATAGAAAACATACTTTTTCTTTTTTCAAGGTTCCCATTATTCTGTCTAGAGTCAGCATTTATTTCTCAAAATAAAATGAATGTACTGTTCTTCTACTCGCAAGTTTGAATGATGATGATGACTTTGAAACTCACGTCATTTGCGAATACTATTGTAAATCATTCCCTAAGAAAAATGACGCGGAGCGCCGCTGGTCGTCGTAAATCAATTGTGACGTGTTCAAGATCGCGCTCAACTCGACTGGTGCTCCGCGATTATTCTAGGCATCGCGTCGCTTCGAGAATAATTCTACATACTTCCTAAGACTTCCATTGCCATATATGAACACTACCTATTCGCACGTCAGGGAAGTCGAGTGGACAGTGCGGTGCGAAGTGTTCCAATAAGGCGATAGACGTTTGAGTATTTGTTTGAAGTTAAAGTGTTTGATTGTATTCGTCAGATTAGCAGCTAAATAAAGTACAGTGTAGACAAACCCATGGGAAAAACGTAACAATACATTTCCATCAAAGTATCAACAATATACGAGGGATGAGAGTGTATGAGAGCGTGATACTCTTCAAGAGTAATGAACTTTCCTTATGGAACATATACTTACAAATTGTTCATTACTCCGCTGCTTGAGAAAATAGACTATAGTAAGTCTTTACTTTTGAATTCTTTCTCACGCCTTAATTGTTTGTTCGCTTGTGATGACGGAAAAGTGGAAAGCCAAAAAGCTTCTCCCCAAAAATTATCCCCTCCTAAAAATATCCTCGTTTCAGTTTGTACATCTTTGTCATTCTCCGTTATATTGCAGCAAAATATAACTCATTAGTCTATCTTTATGTCGCTGTGATTCACCCCATGCCTAACGCGGTTAAACGGTCCATCTCAAAAAAGGACGATGCGGGGACTACGGAGAGGATGTGCAGCTCGTAGATGGAAGCATGCCGGAGAGACTTATACTCACCTCGAGGTGGAGCAACGCCACTCACAAGAAGTAACAGCAGTGAAGAACTCTATCCGCAGCAAGTATCCGGCAAACTCCGACAGATCCCGGTCTTACCCTACTCGTTTGGAGTAGTGAAGTGCACTTGGAAGGGGCTGTATTAACGTTGAGACTCGAAAAATGATGCACCTCCATAGGAGTTTGCGTCCCGAATCGTCCGTTCCACGGACTTCCTCCGACAACATGGGGCCGTGACATTTTGTATTTGTATTCAGTATCATTCAGTATCATGACAGAATGATACTGAATGGAGCGTGTAAAGTAATCAGTAGTTTGGATCGCCTTCTCTGCATGGTCCGTGGAAAAGAGAGAGCAGGAATTGGAACATTTCTCTTTAGGGCTGCTGCCCGAGCGACTGTTGAACTTGGTTTAGAGTTGGCACCCGTTCAGCAGGAAACCCATATGCATGCGCAAGCATGATGGATAATGAGGCTCCAGACACAAGGTGCAGGCCCTTCTTCACCATCAGAGCAAAATGATATTTATCGTGGAGTTTCAGCTCCCAGCGAGACGAAAAGAGGAGGAACATCGAATTGAATATTGAGGTTTTCTATTCAAACTCCACAGACTCTATCCTAATCACTCTGTCAAGATGGTTGTTTTGATTATTATTGGAGTCGTTGGTGGAATGGTGCACTCTCTACCCTCGAATCACAAGATCATACTGGCTTGCCGTACTAAGGCAGAAATCTTAGCCGGAAAAATGCAGAGGGCTGCCATGCTTTGCTCACTAGGCTTGCTTAGAGCACATGATTCTTGGACCCGATGATCACTTACCCTACGGTCTGGAGAGTGGTCACTGGTTGATAACGCTGTCCCACCCTTCCAAATGTATCGAGGCTTCGGAGGAAAGGCCTGACCAGCGCAAACTTAAATTAATATTAATAATAATGTTTATTCACCATTTATGAGATATTGAGTATTTATGGAAAGTCACGATGATCAATATAGCTTGCGTGGTCAAAGTATTGATACTAGATTCAAGACATTGAGTGAAAGAGAATTGTTACAAATGTAAATGTATAGGTACGATTGAAAGTACGGAAAATGAAAATAATATCTGTATCCGAAATACGAATACCTCATGTAGATCAATAGACAATAAAATTGAAAGAAATAAACTTAAAATAATGAGGCGAACTGTTTCTTATCGGTCACGAATTTTTAAAATACTGCAAGATCGGAGTTCGTTATTGTGTCATTCAAATTAATAGGACTTGCATTTTATCTATCTTATATTTATCGGAGCGATATGTCAGTGACCAAATCATAATTTTCCAGAAGTGGACAAAGAACAGTTATTCTATGAATATTCAACTGATATCCTATGGATATCTCACGGGTATTCTGTGGACAATCCAATGGATATCCATAGTATATCTGGATATGGACATGAAACCGATATCTTAAGGATACCCGTTATGTAGTTCATGCAAATAAGTAACACTTTTAGGCAAAAACTGAAAGAAAAAACCCTATTTCATTTGATATTTATAAGAAATGATCAAATAATGAATATGTGTTAGGTGAAGTTCTGTACTTGAGTTTCTTATTTTCACCTATAATGTTAGTTCAATTCATTAGTATCAGTGTCAGTTCCTCTATGTCTTTTTGATTGATTACTACATGTTTTTTGAGCAGAAAATATTGAAATATTTCAATTGGAGTTGCTCATATTAACGGTTGTAATGTAAGTGGTTGTTTAGAACTGGATGAGTACAGTTATTCGGTACTGAAAAATTATGATCTGAAACAAACTTTATAAAAAAGCAGGACGTGAAGTTCCAAAATTGAATGATTGAGAAAACGATTCTTCTACAGGCTGTGATTTCCGAATTTCCTAGCATCCAGTATAAAGTTATTTATATTTTTTGTCAGTCGATATACTCTTAATCGTGTACTCTTTAGGGTCTGTGACTTTGACCTTGAAGTTTCAGTAGCAAGTGTACTTCGAAGTCATGTGGCTCGTGAACATTCTCAAACCTTACATTGAAAAACTCTTCAATTTCCATCTTTTTAGTATTTACATGCAGGGAGTGATTTTGAATATATATAGAAGTTTCATATCCCAGACAATTCTAGAACAGTCCCGAATCTTCGAGGATATTCGAGAAAATACATTATGTGGAATGTTCGGGAATAGTCTGGACGTTGGAGAACATCCCAGGTCATTGTGAAACTTTTCAAAACAATTTCGAATGCTTTTGGAAATTTGAAGATTATTCGAAGCCGTTTATACAGTGTGACCAATTTTCAATGGAAACACCCCTAAAATTTGAAGTTGTAAACCGATTTTAATAATTTTTTTTGAAATGTCAAGTACTAAAAGGTCTACCTTGGGACAAAATTTGAAATGTTTATTGAAGTTTCAGGGCATACTACGATATTTTTTCTTAGTTGAAAATCGAGATTTTTTATTAGCGATTTTTTTATTGAAAAAATCACTATGCCACTGGATTCAGAGTGCCTCTAAACAGGTGTGACCAAAATTTCATGAAAAAATA